TCATATAAATACTTTAATTAACGCTCAGCCGTATTTAAAAAAAAATACATGACCTTCATCCCCTTGTGACTGTTGAGAAGACGAACTTGTCTGTCCACGCGAAGAATTGGTCGTACGGCTCGATTTCCGACCTCGCGATTTATCGTTGTACTCAAAAGCAGATGGTTTACGCTTAGTTGAATTAGTTTTCTTGGGACGACCTCGCGGGTTATCCTTAACCTCAGGTTCCGCATAATCCTGTTGGTCTGGGTAAAGATGACTGTACATGAACTGATTCACGTACCGCATCGTCGCGGGATCGCGGGTTTCAACCTCAGTCACAAGCGTCTGAAAGAACGCCGCATCTGACCATGCAGCGTTGCTCGCCTGACTCGGATGACCAGTCCCTACAAGTATACGATAAAAACGTCAATGAATTAAAATAAATAATGTATTTTAATACAAAATTATAAATAAAACATTAATTTTAAATTACCTGGCTCTAATATCTCGAGCGTTCTCCAGAACTGGTGAATCATTCCGAGATCAATCGGAACGTCGAAATCATTTGCGTTACGGAGGAGATAGGCACAAGGAAGTCTATGAGTGAGCTGCAATACACAACCGCAACTAGTGTAAACATCGGTGTCCAACTTGTGCATCCTCGTAAGCTCAGCGTCCAATAAACTCAGACAGCAATGCGAGACCCTCAGTATCACGCTCGCGAAACGGATTCCCTTCTACCGTGTATTCTTCTTAGATCTCGAGGCCTCAAGCGCCGTCCTGATAATACGTTACATAACGTTAGATTATAATTAATTAATGCAGTAATATAATAACGCATTTAAAAATTGCAGTACTTACTTGATTTCAGTCACTTGATTATCGATATGCTTACTAATCTTCTGCCAAACCGTATCGAGCGCGCCGGTGGACGTCTGAAGCCACTCCTTCAACGCAGAATGGGCACTCTCCACCCTACAGGAAGTTGTGTTTCCAAAATGTGTCACTCGGTTGGTCCAAGCCTTCACAAACTTCTCGCGGTGCACTAACCATGTGCCCTCCACATACCGTATCACCTCTGGATTGTTCGAATATTTTGCGCGCAGCTCGGCAACGACATCGTTGTAGGCATCGAACGTACTGGCCTCTGCAATCGCCTTCCACGTACTGTGCGTGAAAATCTCCGAGAATTTTTTATTCTTCCCAAATAGTTGGTAGGTTTTGGCTTCAACATCCTTGTTGATATGCCACGTGCAGAGTAAGTGGGCTGATTCAGGAAAATGCCTCTGAATAGGAGTGAGTAAACCCAACTCTCTGTCACTGACAACAACATAAGAATACACGCTTTGGCCTATCAGTAGTCTCAACTTCTCTAGAACCCAGTCGTAACTGGTCTCTTTCTCGTCCCTGATGAGGGCATACGCAATTAGGAAGTTCTGGTTGCACGGCGTCATCCCAATCATCTCGACCAACGGCATCTTGTACCTGTGCAAATGTGACCAAGAAGACAAAAAATATAAGCACATAAATATATGCGTCAACACTTTTAAGATTCATACTAATAAAGTATTTATAAAGTAACATACTTGTTGGGTTTTATACGTGGAATCTATACCGACATACCAGTGATATGTCCGGAATAGATTGATCGACGCAGGATGGGCCATGAATATATGCGTCAACACTTTCGTGTTCGGATCGGATTTTACATAAACTGTATACTCGCTGCTCACGGCCAAATGCATAAGCTGAGAAGGAACGTCTCTACCGTCGGAACTCTCTCTCCGCAGCTTATCTCTAAAGTTATATACCTGTCACCGATTAACGTTAATTATAATGATTATTATAATTTAAAACAAAAATTTTATTATATTAGTAAATAAAAAAGTATATTAATGCGATTAATTTGATAAAAAAATTATTAACTATCACAATAATAATACATTAGTAAATATAATAAAATTTATTAATTATTACAATAACTTTTACATATAAAAAATTACTTATTATCATAATTAACTTAAAAAATTTAATTAAAACATATATTACAAGATATAAATATATATACCTGCCGCACATGAACGTTGTCTCCCGGATTCTTTTCCTTCAGCGCGGCCATAATTTTTTTCGGGGCCACCTGAGCGTCCGTCATGTCACGAACAATTCTCTTAGATGAAGCGTTGAGACCGCTCAACTGGCTATGACCCTCAGGATACACAGCAAATGCATGGTTATGGTAGCCTTTCTCTTCATTGCTACATCTACAGATCCTTCAGTATGGAACGCCGGACACCTTTTTTACTTTGATCTCAAAATTGCAGCCGCACTTATTCGTTTTTGTCCTTCTAGAATTTCCGCCTGTGCCTCTGTACCGTTCGCCTCTATGGCACTTCAAAAGTCTGACTGTTTTCTTTTTGTGGCTCGAAATAATTAATAGGAAACCATTCAACATTGCCTGGTGTTTTGCAGCTTCAATAGCCTCCTGAGCACTATTATAGAATGTACATGTATCGAAACGCAGACTATAATCAACACCATCTCCTCCAAAATCTTCCCATGACTCCTGTTATATAGTACAATATTTATATTTTTAGAACATGTTAAATTAAGATAATTAATTCTACGATGTAACATAATAATTTGTAACTCGTAACATTATATTATCTAACGTTCAATTAATATAATTTGTAACTCCTAACACGATCACGATAATATCTAACGTCCAATTTATATTATAATAAACATGTAACACAATAATTTGTAACTCTTAACACGATACTATCTAACGTCAATTTATAACATAACTAAAACTAATATGTAATATAATAATTTCTAACTCGTAACACGATAATATCTAAACGTCCAATTTATATTATAATCAACATGTAACATAATAATTTGTAATTCCTAACACGATAAACGTCCAATTTATAGCATAATCAAGTATAAAATGTAACATAATAATTATAACATAATAATATAGTCTAATTTATAACATAACTATTTTGAATAAATAATATAATAATTTAAAAAAAAAAAAAAAAAAAAAT